ATGTTCAGTAAGGTGTATTGGCTACTGAGTTTAAATATCACCGTCTTACTGCATTGACGTTAAGCTTTTTCTTTATAATATGCTCTATGGGAGGAAAACTATATAGCCTACAGACAAGAGACTACATGAACGCAATGTACGGCGTTTCAAGTTAATAACATTTTCCTTCCCGAGCCTGTTAAAAAGAAAAAGCTTAACATGAAATAAAAATTCTGCAGTTGCGTTTAACTTTGCATGTGAATGGGAGAGCAACCGGTCCGAGACTGCAGTGAAGTTTGATATTCGCCTCATTTTATAAAGGGACCATCTGCAAACTCCACTCACAGTCAAAAAAATATAAACGTCCAGTCATTCATTCAAATGAACATATTTCCAAGGTTATATTATAACCTTGGAAGTCTAGTGGGCAGACTGACTTAGCCTACTGTTACTGTACTATGTCCAGCCAATATCTCGATTGAACAGTAGCCTACAATTTTTTAATTTACTGTAAATTGTTTTTCTATTCATGTTCCAAAGGTTGTAGTACGTTCCTAGTGACAAGTCAGGTGAAATTTTACATTATTCACTTGTAGTAAGTCACCAAAAACCCGTTTGGTTAATTACAGTAATTTTTTTATAAAATAATAATTGTTTACTAAATAGGCTACATGAAGGGAGTTATTGGGGCAATTTCACCTGTAGTAAGCCAGTCTAGTCACTGAACATACTACAACCATTTTGAACATGAAAAAACCCTTTTGGTGAATTACAGTATTTTTCTGCAGAATACAGGCTACATGAAGGGAAGTATTGTCCAAATTTTACTTGTAATGGTGCGTTCACACCGGACGCGAATAGCGCGTCAGGCGCGAGTGATTTCAATGTTAAGTCAATGCAAAGACGCGTTACGCGCGTAAAAAATTCCTGCGGCGCGAATGAGGCGTAGAGCGCGGCGCGGTAGACGCGAATACGCCTCATTCGCGCGTCAAGTTCGCGCGAATGGCGCGAATTGAGCGTCTGGCGCGTTAAGCGCGAATGATTTAGTTAGTGCTATTTGTGCATTCACGCGTTTGACGCGAATTCGCGTCTGCCGCCCGAGTTGAAAAATCTGAACTTCTGCGTCAATTCGCGCCGCGTTAACCAATCAGGAGCCTAGCTGCTTGCTGCTGTCACGTGGTGAAGTATCTGGATGCTTCAATAAATTATTTTGTAATATATGACTGTGGTTCTAATGCACAACAAAGCAAATATTTTATCACATAAAACTTGATTTCAATATATGAGACATATTCATTTTGCATTGAATGCTATTTATTCCATATCTAGATTATATGAAATATTATTATAATGTAAAGACAACCAACATATAAGTTCGTGTCTGGACAGTGATGTGTGAGAGAGAGAGAAAAATCACAGGACAGATTAATCACTTTTGGAGGCTGGCTTCATTTATTATCAAAACAAAAATAAATGACAGATTAGGTGGATGCGGGCGAGGGTGAACCTCGCGCCGGGCTGTAGAGCGAGGGCTCGACAGGCATAGACCACTCGAGGCCGAGGGCTTATACGGCCTACGCTGTCCTCGTCAGCGTCCTCACCATTAGGTCCACCAAACCTAGCTCCTGGAGCAAATTGTGAAACTCCTGAAACCCTCCGGAGGTTCTGGTGGACCCGAGTACAGCGACGATGTCCCCTACGGAGCTGCTTCTGCTCTCCAGAGCATATACGAGCGGTGACTCTCTCGAATAATGCTAATGCTAATGCTCGATAAACATCTAAAAAGATGGCCGCCAACGGGTTTCGAAACTTTCGCCTCCGGATTTCGTCTCTGACGCGCGTAAATTTCGCTTCAAACTTTTGTTTTTACGCGCGTCAATTTCGCCATTGACACGCGAATTAACACAAAGTGGTCAAGCGTCAAACTAGACGCGGTAGACGCGAATTTGACGCGCTATTCGCGTCCGGTGTGAACGCACAGTAAGTCTTACAGAAACCTTCTACGAGCTTTGGAATTTGAAAATGTCTGTTATTAAATTTAAAAAGTAATTTGAATTAAAACAAATTATACGTTTTAACCACTGATCTATATAGAATGACATTATAGATCAGTGGTTTTAACGCAGTTAGTGGAATTGGCAGACGTTCCCTTGTGCATCATGAGCTGTGGTTAGCGCGTCAAAGCATTCTCGTGTAGAAATATGCAGCTACAGGCCCGCTACGCCAGTTGATTTTCAATTAATATTTCATGTCGATATACAATGGTTGCATATTGTTAACTCATCGTGCTATAGTAAGACTATAGCCTATGGCTTAAGGGTCAAGGGAAAACAAATGTACTGCGAAAATCGTCTTTAATATTTAAAAACAGACATTTTCAAATTCCTGCTTGTACTATGTACACAATGTGTAGTCAGATAAAAATAAGCATATAATATGAACGCAACTGCGAAATTTCACCTTTTTTTCAACAGGAAGGAAAATTGTATTAACTTGAAACGCCGTGCGTTGCGTTCATGTAGTCTCTTGTCTGTAGGCTATATAGTTTTCCTCCCATAGAGCATATTATAAAGAAAAAGCTTAACGTCAATGCAGTAAGACGGTGATATTTAAACTCAGTTGCCAATATACCGTAGGCTATTGAACATGCAACTAATGGTTTTCTATGGGTGTTGTTCATAATCTGATGTTATCTGTTTACCTCTATAAAGTATGCTTTATTAATAGGGTAGGCCTATATTGTTGTGTACTAAATTTGGTGCTTCAATATCACTCTCATTAAGCGTCTTAAATGCGGAAGAACGCTTGATTATGCTGCCGTTGTCTGTTTTAGCAGAATACTGCCATCTAGTGGTAGCAGCTTTTCTCAGACAGCTGTGTGTGGATCGTGCAAGGCGAAACCCGCGAAATGAAAGTCTCAAAATCCAAATGAATCAAATAGGATCGACTCAATGAATCGAGTCAATGAATGCACGCGCGTCACCTGATCCACACATGCACGTCTTCTGTGTTGCATGTGCAAATTATGATACACTAATACAAAGGAAAACATTTGTATTCACAAAAATGTCTCTATTTGTACAAATTGCTTCATTTAATCATTTTGATACTAAAATCATCCCATACGTGTGTGCATGTCCCTACACACTCGCGCATCCTTCGACTTCTTCCACACATCATCCCGCACCGTTCTCATCCCGAACTGAATGATGATTGCTCTCGGTGTGTTGTTTGAGGTAGCGGCGTCGCCTTTCCTTCCCAGCCGGTGAACGGTGTCTACGGTGTCTCGCAGCCGCTCCACAGACATTGGCACAACTCTGGTCAGTATCCCGATTACAACTTCTCTCGTGTCCTCTCCATCCTTTTCAGGTAGACCAATCATCCTCAAATTCCACCTTCTTTTGTATCGGGTTTGCTCTGCACATGCTTCTTTTAACAGGCTGTTTTCTCTCTGAAGGCCTCCTATTTTTTTCTGAAGCACGCCGATTTCTTCTCGATTTTCTTTAGTTGCGGTTGTGTTAGCTTCAATACGTCTGTCGAAACTTTTCAAAAGTTCCGTCTGCTCGTCCATTTTTCTGGTCAGAGCTTGTACTGCGTGTAAAATTGCAGCGCCAGTATTCACGTCCTCACCTTCTCTTTGGTGTCTCTGTTTCTTTGGATTCGGCTGTTTAATTGGTGTATGTTCTTTGTTAATTTTGTCTTCTTTGGATGAATGTTGCTCCGCTTCTATTTCTTCCTCAATGTCAAAATCTTCGCATGCCTCGTGGAGAGCAGCCAAGTTGTAGTTGTGATCGACGGACATGATTCCAAAAAAACCTCCAGAATGTTATGATAACTTATTTTTGTCCCTTAATTTAGACACTACGTTATATGTCTGTTTAGTAGAAGGGTTGTTACACTAGTTTATCACATTTCAAGGACTAAAAAAAAGCTTTTTACCGGAGCCTGCAAAAGTGCTACCACTCACTCCGCCATCTTAACTCCCTTCCTGGCAACTTGCAGTAGACTCTGTACCCTGAAAAAAAGGTCAGTTTTTCTTTTGAGCCTATAAGCAAATATTCTGCCCTGTTCTACTCCAAATACCGTTTTACTTCATAGTTGTAGTAGGCTACTTTCAGTTTTGTCAAGCAATTATAAACTTGTAATATGTTGTTGAGCTTCTATTCAGCAGTGCATGATTCTTTGAAAGCTGCTTTTTCATGGACATGTCGGTGCCATCTACTGGTCACTTCCATTTATACATCTCTGGCACCCAATAACAACCAACTGCAGAAACAGTCTGAGGCCAGAAGTATTCATGGGTGGAGGTTTAGTGGTGGGGTGGGATTAGGCATAACTTCCGGTCTGATGCTGTGACGTATAGCTCTGCGGTTTGGCAGTTCATGTCTCCAATCATGTCTTCAAATGTTAAGGTCAAGAACCTCTTGCTGCATAGAACAAAAACAGTCAGTTTATGTATTATTGCACTATTGACTATTAATGTATTTATATACTTTGCTATGATGCTTTCATTGCAAAGCCATTATAATGATCATTATTACCAGTAAAGAGTCATATTGCATTTTAATTTACTTCATACACTAACGCTCAAAAGTTCAGTAAGGTGAGGTCAGCAAGATATATTTTTTTTAAGAAATTCAAATACTTAAAAAGATATTAATACTTTTATTCACCAAGAATGCATTCAGTTGATCAAAAGTGACAGTAAAAGACATGTTACAGAAGATTCCAATTTTCTATTCATCAAAAGATCCTGAAAAATGTTTCCACAACAATATTAATCAACTGTTTTCAACACTGATAATAATCAGGCATGTTTCTTGAGCAGCGAATCAGCATATTAGAATGATTTCTGAAGGATCATGTGATCGAGACTGGCGTGGCTGCTTTGCCAACACAGGAATAAATTATATTTTAAAATAGAATAAAATTGAAAAGAGTTATTTTAAATTGTGATAATATTTCACTGGTTTCCGATCAAATAAATGCAGCTTTTTGTATCATGAACAAGGATGCATTGTATACTGTATAGTATATAAAAAGCCAAATATATAATTTCTTCCTGTCAACTCACTACTACAATACAACAGCCCCTACATTTCTAATGTAATAAAGGGATATTCACGGTCATGGGTCTCTCCTGGTGGCCTGGTTTTCATGTTTCTCTCGCTTTTCTCTCCTCCGTTTTGTAATCTGCAGCTTCCCTGAGCAGTAGCTCTCTGGTAAGGTCAGGCCTCCCTGCGCGGGTCAAGCAGTGGGCCAGGATGGGGCATTTCGCAGATGAGGAAGGAAGGCCGCGCCTCCACGCCGTCAGAATGTGAAAGGCCTGTTCTGAGAGGCTGTGTGGTGCACGGAGTCGGGCGATCTGGACAGCAGAGCGACGGAGATGGAGAGACATAAAGAGAAGCGCTGCATCGTCTTCAGTGAGCTCATCACAGAGCCACGATAACAGCTCATCTGAGAGAGGGTCTGGAGGACAAACACTGTTAGCATGTGTGTGTGCACAGAACACCTTGACAGCCTCCTCACTTATTCTGCCATTTTTAAATGATAGAAATCCAGGAGGATGAAAATCTGAGAAGTATCTTAGCAAACCAAACTGGGCAAAATGGAAGGAAAATAGAAGAGAGAGCTGGAGTTCACTAAAGAAACAAATGGTGCAGTAGATTTCACAAACCTGTTTGACTGTGCTGTATTAACTTCACACTCACAGGCTGACAGACTGTTCTTGCACTCTAGGTAACAAACAATCAACAACAACAATGACTTACAAACCATTTCAAAATGTGAATATTTTTGACTCGTTTACCAGTACAAATATCTATAAATGTCTGTGAGAGGGCTTGTTTTCTGACAAATGTATTAAAATTCAGTTTATGCTTAGAACAAGAAAAAAATATCTGGCAATGGGCTAAGAAAATTCACTTGTTTTCACTTTTAATTTATTCACTTTTAATTTACAGATATTTATATTTTTTTCATTTGCAGATATTGTTTTCTAGTTTTAAGCATACACTTATTAAATTTTGAGAACAGAAAACATGACTTAATTTTTTATTAGTGCTGTCAAATCGATTAATAACATCTAACATGAACAGTTTATATATATACGTGTGTGTGTGTGTATCGGTCAAAAGTTTGGAAACATTACTACTTTTAATGTTTTTGAAAGAAGTCTCTTATGCTCATAAAGCCTGCATTTATTTGATGGAAAATACAGAAAAAACAGTAATATTAACATAATGGTTTTCTATTTTAATATATTTTAAAATATAATTTATTTCTGTGATGGCAAAGCTGGATTTTGAGCATCATTACTCCAGTCTTCAGTGTCACATGATCCTTTAGAAATCATTCTAATATGCTGATTTATTATCAATGTTGGAAACCGTTGTGCTGCTTAATATTTTTTTGGAACCTGTGATACTTTTCAGGATTCATTGATGAATAAAAAGTCAAAAAGAATAGCATTTATCCAAAATAGAAATCTTTTCTAACAATGTAAATCTTTACTATAACTTTGTATCACTAACACATCCTTGCTGAATAAAAGTATTAATTTCTTTCAAAAAAGAACAACAAATTACTGACCCCAAACTTTTGAACTGTAGTGTAAATTGTAACAAAATATTTCTATTTTAAAGGTACTGTCTGTAAGAATGACAGCTAGTGGTCGAAATAGGTACTGCAGTCCAAATTCAAAATATCGGAGATCCGCCCCCTCCTCCTCTGACTCGACGCTCACGGAGGTTGCCAGTTTGAGGACATGCAACAGGAACAAGCGTAATTGACAATGAAAGCCGAGGAAACTTACAGACTGTAAGTTAATGAGTTGATTTATCAGCGTTTTAATATGCTCTCATTCATAGAGGTTTTAGATGGATAACGAGGCTTTTTAGGTTGTGTGGAATCTGCAATCTCTGACCCAGTTTGTTTGCTCGTTTCCAAGGCTGCAATACACGGTGTTTCCTGCCAACTGGCATCCCGGGGTGTCGAAATACTATTGGGTGAACTGGCAGTGGGCGAGATCACACAGACAGACCAAAACAAAAGCCGACTGACAACACGGAACTTGTAAAATAATAAGTAAAATAACTGGCTGTAGAAGTGTTTTTCAGAGAAGCGAGTAAGTAAACTTAGCATGTTTCCTAAATATCTGCAAACATATTATGGTATTTTTATGCTTTAGTAGAGTAAAAAAAGTTACATACAGCACCTTTAAATAAATGCTGTTCTTTTTTAACATCTTTTTATTAATCAAAGAATCCTGAAGTATCACAGGTTATAGAAAAATGTTAAGCAACACAACCGTTTCCAACATTGATAATAAATCAGCATATTATAATGATTTCTGAAGGATCATGTGACACAGAAGATTGGAGTAATTATGCAGAAAATTCAGCTCTGCATCACAAAAATAAATTATATGTTTAAGTATATTAAAATAGAAAACCATTATTTTAAATTGTAATAATATTTCACAATATTACTGTTTTTTTCTGTATTTTTCATCAAATAAATGCAGGCTTCATAAGCAAGATACTTCTTTCAAAGACATTCAAATGTTTAATGTTTCCAAACTTTTGATTGATACTGCTGGCTGAATCGATACATATATCAGCGCTCGTTTCCGGCAATTAAACACATTTCTGTCCGCATTTATTGGGTCGTGGAATGTCAGAGAAGTGACGTACTATAATCTGATGATTGTCTGCCTTGTTCGGCGTCCGTCTGTGCGGTTGGGCTTAAGAATAAGTCTTTACCTTGGGCAGAGTGAGCGTCATCCGGCAGACAGGCTCTTCTAGAGGACAGTCCTTAGACACGGCTGCCCTGTCACCATTCCAGACCAGCTGACCTTTGGTGACCTTGAATAAACTGGTTACGCCTTTGTAGTGAAGAGAGCTGTAGTTGCCGAAGGGGTCCACTTCTTTCAATCTCAAATACAGCCGGTTTCTTCTTTGGTTGTGGAATGTGATTATGTGTGAATCTGTTTCTTCATTACCTATGGGATCTCCAACAGACACACACAGAAACAAGTACACATGTTGGATAAGCTAACATTCTAACAAATCAGTAAAAGGCCTGACTCACTTGATGCCTTGGGCGAGATAAAATAAGTCAAATGAATACAAAGATGCATTAAAATGATCAAATGTGACAGCAAGGCTATTTAATGTTACAAAAGATTTATATTTCAAACAAATGTTGTTCTTTTTAACTTTCAATTCATCAAATAATGCTGAAGTATTATGGATTCCACAAAAAATATTAACCAGCACAACTGTTTTTAAAACTGATAATAAGAAATGTTTTTGAGCAGCATATTAGAATGATTTCTGAAGGATCATGTGATTGAAGACTGGAGTAAAGACTGATAAAAAAATCAGCTTTTCCACAGGAATAGATTACATTTTTATAATACATATTCACAATATTACAGTTTGATTTTTTAACTGTTATTAAAACAGTCGTATTTTTTAAATGGGCGTGATGCTTCTGATTATGAAAATGGCCTGATTAAACAGCCTTTTAGGCACTGTTGTTTCCCAGTTATTTAGAAATAAATATCAAATTAATATAGAAAGTATGGAATGTGCATGGGTTACTCTGAAATAATATAAGACTGATTGAAGCTAAAATATTTTTAAGATTAGTTTAACATGCCATTGCAGGTAATATTCCCGCTGAACCGGAGCAGCAGCTGTTCTCCCTCCCTCATGGAGAGTTCAGACGAGGGCTCTGGAGGGCCACAGTAACCCAGGGCCTGGAGTTCACACAGCGCAGCGCTAACATCTCTGCTGGGCAGGGTGGCCACAACCACGCTGCTGGGGTCCAGACGCTCGTGATGGAGCACAACAGTGACCGAGAAGATCTTTACAGCTTCTTCCAGTTCTTCAACTAAGGAAGTCAGGTAGGAAGATTTTACAGAGGACTGAATGCGAAGGACTATTAACCTGAGGGCAGAGCAAGGTTTTAAAGGTGAGAGGGCAATAGTTTTTTTTTTAGTGGTAACACTTTACTTTAGGGTCCAATTCACACTATGAACTAGTTGCTTATTAGAGTGAAAATATCTACGTATTGACTGTTTATTAGTACTTATAAAGCACATATTAATGTCTTATTGCATGACCATATTCTACATCCCTTAATCCTACACCATACCTAATTATACCAAACAAAAGTTATTATGCTTACTTTTGCATCAATTGCTTGCCTTACTGAGTATTTTGACTTGCACAGATCAAAGCCGGTGGTTCCCTCCCTAAAATAATTCTTGTGGCATTTAGTCTGGGTTTAAATTCTAGACAAAGCGTTACAAACATAAAAAAACTACCTTACTAACTATTAATAAGCAGTAATTAGGAGTTTATTGAAGGCAAAAGTCATAGTTAATAGTTAGTAAATAGTGAGAATTGGACGCTGAACTAAAGTGTGACCTTTTTTATATATTTGTATATTACATTCGCACGGATTGATTTTGGTCACTCGGTACCTTTCGTAGCTTTCTGGTAGCTCAAAACAGACCAAGCTGTTCTGTAGGTTCTTCACACTGACTTTATCCAGAACCTTCCAACGGTTCTCTATTCTGCCCAGCACTGCCAGCTGCTCTTTACGCTCTTTATGAGTCTTTACTGAGGCACCATCAACTCTGAATCAGAGGGGAAAAACACTTCTTTACTAATTTCAATCTATCTCCAGTCTCCACACTGACAAAATAAAATGTGTAGGATTTATTTTGAAACATTTTTCACTCTTTGCTGGTAAATTTCACAAATGATTACAATGAAACAGCAAACAAGACATTTTTAAGTAGAAAGACTGAAATAGTATTTTCTTGTCAAACAGACTCCAGTAATCTTTGTTTTACTTACAACTTTGAAAAAAGTTTTTACAGTGCAGTTTAGAATGCAACTTTACCTAATCTGCAGGGGTGAGAAAGTGCCTGATATAAGAGTGGGTCTGTCAGTATCTTCTCCAGCTCTTTTCTTCTCAGAGATAGTAGGTGGACATGGCAGGATAAGTGTCAAAGGTCGTCTGAGTTTCAGGCTTGATGGATGGCTTATGTAAAGTAAGGGGGTTGATGAGAGAGCAGCGTGGTAGGAATCATTCTTGGATTTAAGAGAGGATAAAACAAAGGCATCCACTGGCTGTACCTAAGGAGACAAAGAAAGGCTTCTATACACATTATACACTTAGTATATATATTACCAATATTTTCCACTAAACATTGTTCTTCAGACCCTCTCTCTGTTATTTTTTTTAGGTTGATTAGCTCCAGAAAACCTATTCAAGCATATTAGCGATCATTTGTTTTCTGTGGATATATTCTTCTAAAATGCTATATTTTATGAACGCATGAACGTATCGTTAGAAAACTTGGTATGGGTCATCGGTGCTCTGAAAGAGTCTGAGAAGTTGCGGACCAGTTTCGGAAAATATTTACATGCTTATAACTTTGGATTTGATTTATTTATTTTCACAGGAGTCATCTCCTTACATTCCTGAATCCTTGCCGAGTCTAACGAAACCAAACATGCTAGGTTTCGCCTTATGGTTAGCGCAATGTTGTAAATTAGCGCTTAAAAAACATTTGCCAATATCCTTGAAACCGTTAGACCGATCGAGACGAAACCACCGTAGGAAATTCGAAAACATAGGTCGTTGGCTATATACTAATGCCCAAATGTCAACATTTTTATAGTAAGTGGCAAAAAAATCCAATCAAAGTCGCCCATACTTTTTTATGCTCTCATATAAATAAATGTCTATAACTTTAAAACAAAATGAGATATTTTCAACACATTTGACACGAATGTATGGGCTCACTCTGAGAACACATAAAAAAAGTGGTGGAACTGCACCATTTGGTGGCGCTATAATTGAACAAAACAAGGACATTGCCATTAATTACAATATAATATCATGATATTAAATGCTACACTTTATGAATGCATTGTGGCTCTTTAGCTATCAGGTTAACCATAAGCTATACAATAGCATTAAGATATCTGAGATGACCTAATAAGATAACCTAATCTGGTTAACATGTTTTTGTGTGCTAATTCTTACACTGAAGCCTCTCCACTGCGGTTTGGTAAGTCAGCATCAACTGAGTGGCACAAGCTGCTAAACCACATGCCACGAGCCCTGAACCATTTAGGTCGTGGGTTCAAATCCTGTGCGGCACATGCCCAGACCGATAGGTACTGTGGCCGGAAGTGGTGCAAAAGTTCTAGATCTGAAAAGGAACTCAATAAGTTGAGTTGATTCTGACTTAAACTATGGAACATCGGCATCTTGATGAATGCACATCTTCCCAGTGTCGCAACGAAGTAAGTGACAGGCATCTGATCCACAGATAGTGGGTTCGAGTCCTGCGTGGGACGACTTTAGAAAAATTGTGTGGAATATTGTGTCATTTCGATTCCTTTATTATTCAAGCGTTGTACTAATCTTTCTTTCTCTTGGATTAGAAATAAGTATGTTTTGTTCATTCTCATCTGAACTTCTGTTCATTTTGGGTTCATTTTCACCTGTACTTCTGAATCAGCTGTTTTTTTTGCATTTGTACATTTGTAAAAAAAAAAAAAAAATACAAAAAAAAAAAAAATGTGTATTAGGTACTAAAATTTAATGACATTTGTAAGCATTTTAATTTACGTTAAATAATGACCTGCTAATCAATCAACATGTAATGTTTAATAAGTAAACATTAACAAGCACATTCTCTCATATTTCTAGCTATGTAAATATTAACTAATGATCTGTTAAGCATTATATAATGTTTGTTAATGATTTATTAATGAAAGTTATTATAAAGTGTTACCAAAGGCGGCTTTAGAATCAGCTTCATTGCAGTACATTATACAATTTTCATAACCAGCTATCTTTGAGAGCATTTTATTCTTACAAAATTATTTAAAAAAAAAATCATTTTACATGATAGATCTGTTATTTTGTGATTCAGCCTGATTGAAAAGAAATTCTGAATGTACCGTCACTTGAGCGACAACTGGTGCGGTGAAGGATCCAGGCAAGTAGTTGAGGCATATTCTGGAGTCCACACTGAGCTTGTGGGACAATCCTGTCCTAGGGACTGTAAAACTCTCCGTCCTCAAACGGGACAGAACCGCAAACACACCCAGAGAGTACACCCGCACCACTGCAAACCAACCCTGTGGAAAAGACAGTGCCATCATACTTACACAAATATCATACAAGCAATAATTGTACACCTAAAAAATAAGATCAACCTTGCTGCACAGCAAAAATCTATGAAAATATAATGGTTGTATAATGACCTCTGTTTTAAACCTTTTACAACAAATAAATGACTGAAAAGAGAAAAGTAAGTAAAATAAAACAGAAGACTGCATTACAGACCCTTTGTCCTCCATAGAAGCCTTCAGTAGATGTAGGTGTGATATAGCTAACTCTCTGCTCTGGATCCACCACTTTCACGGTGATCTCTCTGTAGTTCCCACGGTAACTCGCCTGGAACGGCACTGCTATGGTGAGTGGGAAGGGACATTTGACATGGCTGGAGTTTTGTATGCGGAGAACAGTGCTGACTAGCTCCTCTGATCCTGACACCATGAGAGAACTCAGACCATCAACCACCTCACAAGACAAGATGTTCACAACCTCTGATGGGGCGGTTATATAGCAGACTCTGGGTGACTCTGAAGATCTGGCGCTGTCTGCAAGCCTGCATGTTACCAAAATACACTTGTTAATGCTGAATTCAGTATTATTTCCTCATTAATAAATGTATGTATGCATAAGGAAATTAATAGTATTTTTTTAAATTATGTGTTCATCCAGTCATATCAGTGGCCTAATAAAAGCTGATTTATTTTATATAGAGCAGGTGGCCTCATGGGAGCCACCATGCTGAGATCACATGACCGTTGTACAGTACTTGCTTTATCTCAGTAGCCCCCATGCTATTGGACACTTTTGCACAGAGATGAGAAGGGTATGTATGGACTTATCTAACTCTGGGGGATAGGGTGAATAAGCCAAAGTCCCAAAAAGTCGGCGTGTTCTTTTAAGTCTGAATCAGGCTTCAATGGGCTATATGCACGCATAACTTCCGCGTTTGACGCAAGGATGCTCGTGCGTTTCCGGTTGGGGAGATTTAAAGCGGAGGAAAACCGAGGAAAGCGGGATTATGGCAGAGTCTTCAAAATTTACTGTCCTCTCGTCTTTGAAACGAAACTTTAATACGTTTAGATGTAATTTTATATATATAGTTATGTTTATTTAATATAATAAACACAGAAGCATAAACAGAATGAGGGGTGTCTGTTTTGTCTGTTTTTGTGACTAACGTTTCTTTAGTATAGCGATAGAGTACAAAAACCAATATAAATTCTCGGTATAGCATTGGACTCTACGATCGGCGGAAGTAATCCAGCATCCTTAGACCTTCACCGGAAATACCGCCGTGCATAGAGCCCATTGGTTAGAAATTGACGCCATCCTCAATATTTACATTAAGTAGAACACGCGCTAAGCGGTGCCAATCTGCAGCCCCGCAGACTCACTTCTCGCTAGACACCAGTGGCTGGACACCAGTGGATGGACAGCCTACGTCATTTCCAGATCGTCATTTCCGTATCGTCATTCACTTTTCAAATTTGACGCGCCATGCAGATGTCAGCGGTAAGAAAAAAAATATAAACTGTCGATGATTTATAGGTCATGTCAGAATTCAAATGCACAAACTAGCTAGTTAAAAAAATCGTCTTGTTTTCAAGGTACTTTGTCGTGTTTTTTAAAGGTATTAGTGAACTCTGGTGTGCCTCAATTCTAGAGCTATACTACAATAGAACAGTCTTGTACTCTAATATAGTTAAATATAAACATGCTCATTCTAATCATATTGTACATCTGTTCTTGCTTTAGGTGTGGTGAATGTCAAAAAACTGCCCCAGGCTGCAAGAGACATGTGTGTCCCTTTTAAAATTGTACAATGCAGAAATTGCAGATGTTCTTTCAAAGACTGGGTGGGGTAAGTTAACGTTACCGTGGAAACGGAAGACGTGGAGACCTGCGAGGGTTTTATACAGACCCTGAATTTCCTGAGCATTGCCCAGACTGCCAGTTTTAGGGGGCAGGAATGAGGTGTGGTGTGCACAGTGTGCAATAGTTTATTTGGTCTATAGTCTATAGTTTATTCTCTTGAAATAGGGACTTCCCCCACAACCTTATGGGCCTGACTGTGGCATCTTCATTCTGATGGTCAGATTTGACTAATTTTACTAATTAGATTGTGTAATTTCCAATAAATATAGCAAAACCATGAAGTGTTAATTTGATCTGGATTGTTTGGTAAATTGTCTGATCATGTGAATCTACGTATATTTTAAAAACAGAAGTGGTTACATTTAAAAAAAAGAAAAGAAAAAAGAATTGAATATCCAAATGGGCAAGGCAAAAAACTGTGGTCAATTAACATGTACAAGTCTGTTGTATTGACAAAACGTTATAGTCCATTGATCTAGGCTGAATTTAAGTCACAAAAAATAGTGATATGATCTGAACAATTTATATTTTCAAGGTGGTTCTTGTGAATGCAGTTTGCATGAATTATTGAAGTTATAATATAAGGTATATAATTGAGAATTGTTTTATGTACAGAGATATGATAAAGATCATATTTCAATTTGCACACAGCTTTTATATTATATATTTTAAGTCATAAAAGTAAAATGACAATACGGAAAAGACGTGTGCAATTAAGCCTGCAAAGAATGCTGTCTATCCACTGGTGAAAACAGAAAATAAATATGCTGTCTATCCAGAGGTGAAAATATAAAATAAATATGTCTATCCAGAGGTGAAAATCTAAAATAAATATATGTCTATCCAGAGGTGAAAATATAAAATAAATATGCTGTCTATCCAGAGGTGAAAATATAAAATAATAATGCTGTCTATCCAGCGGTGAAAATATAAAATAAATATATGTCTATCCAGAGGTGAAAATATAAAATAAATATATGTCTATCCAGAGGTGAAAATATAAAATAAATATGCTGTCTATCCAGAGGTGAAAATATAAAATAAACATATGTCTATCCAGAGGTGAAAATATAACATAAATATGCTGTCTATCCAGAGGTGAAAATATAAATTAAATATGCTGTCTATCCAGAGGTGAAAATATAAAATAAACATGCTGTCTATCCAGAGGTGAAAATATAAAATAAATATATGTCTATCCAGAGGTGAAAATATAAAATAAATATGCTGTCTATCCAGTGGTGAAAACGGAAATTAGCGGCAAAACGGAAATGACGGAGAAAACGGAAATGACGTAGGCTGTCCATCCACTGGTGTCTATCGAGAAGTGAGTAGTGAGGCTGCAGCTGGATGCTATTGAATCACTAGGCCAGCTAACCAATCACAGCACATTTCCTATTTCAGAAGGAGGGGCTTCATCGAAACCGGAACTATGGCACGTTCGGGCCAGACTGGGGAGAGAGGTGCTGTAATAATTTAAAATATGTGAAAAATAATGTGCATGGATGCATATTATAGTGCAACCCAAAAACAAAACCAAGACTTCGTAAAAAGGGCATAATAGAACCCCTTTAGGAAATTCACAAAATTAAAATGAACCAAAATGTTTTTGTTTCTTCCTTTTTTTTTCCTTTGCCAGATTGTACGCCTATAGAATAGAAAAAAAGTAGGATTCTCTAGACAAAGTATGAATTAATTTGTTGAGTGAAATATTATCTCACTAACACAAGACGCAGGATGCTGTTGGACCAATCAATCAACAGCACTTGTGAAACATTACACCTGCCCCATATTACTAATATAGACTTACCCAACAGTTACCAATGTACGCTTCAATCTTTCACAGCCTTCTCCACTGCTTTTCTCTTTCTCCTCTTGCTCTTTTTCTTCTTCCACCTTACCATTCATGTTCAGAGAGTTTTTGCAGTCATTCACCATAGTTTTATATGGTGAGTGGACTCTTTCCTCACGTGAGCTCTCTTCACTCGTGTTTCTGTCATCCATACACACATTGCAGCGCTTCACTGGATCTGAAAGCCTTGTTGACTGCACACTTGCAAGCCAGTGATCTTCAGGATGCTGGTCCAGTGGAATACTGATGTCACATGATTCTGGTTTTATGTGGTCTGCAGTATCCAGAGGTCCAGTACTGGTGAGAACACCTCTCTCTTCACTGACTTCAGTAAGAAAAGCAATACCAGTGTCAAGTCTCTTGCTCATTACAATGAAATGGTTTACAATGACGTGGACATCTTCCAGGACATTAAGAATGACATCAGTCACATGGTCTTGGTAAAAGTGGGATCTATTGGAAGCATCTAAAAATACACAATATGCTCAGTATTGTCATGATTATTGCACATTTTTTTCTATTCATTTACCTTGCATCAAATAGACAAAACGAGTGTACAGATTAAATAAAAGGGCTGGATCAGAAAGTAAAAGGGTGCAAAAAAAAAAAAAAAAAAAAATCTAGGCCATGTCCAAAGGATTAAAGAGGAGGTGTATCTATTATCCCAAAAGTTCTCCTTTATGGAAAATTATCCTTTAATTACAAATTAACTCAAATTAACCACAGCTCAAAGGTTTGGGGTCTTTTATGGTTTTTGAAAGAAAACTCGTATGATCAAGTAAAAACAGTAATATTGTGAAATATAACAATGAACTGTTTTCTAATTTAATATATTTTAAAATGTAATTTATTCCTGTAATGGCAAAATACAGTCTTTAGTGTCACATGATCTGTCAGAAATCATTCTAATATGCTGATTTGCTGACCAAGAAACATTTCTTATTATCAATGTTGAAAACAGTTGTTCTGCTTAATATTTTTGAGGAAACAGTGATATATATTTTTAGGATACTTTAGATTTCAGGATACAAAAGAACATAATTTATTTGAAATAGAAATATTTAATGCGTTAATGTTTCCTTGGAGAATAAAAGTAACCACAAAAACAAAAATCTATTTTCAAGTGAGCCAATTACATTTGAGCTTGTCATATTCTGAGAGCCCTTGCAATTTTTGTGGAAACAAAACCATAATTATTACTTGAGGGAACAGCCTTGTATAATATATTTTTTGCCATTTTTATTTTAGTTATTTTATAAAAATGTTATTATTATATGCACTATGAATGCTTCAGCAATGTACTCCATCAGTCATGCCAATAAAGCTTTCCGACAACCCCCCCCCCCCCCCCCACCCCACACCACACCACACCACACCACACACACACACACACACACACACACACACACACACACACACACACACACACACACACACACACACACACACACACTCCAAAGTTCCCAAGCCTCTCATGAAGCACTTACCCACATCAACTGTTTTCTCTTGAGACTCTGTGTCTGGGAGTGTGTGTGCCAAATTAGAGCACATCCTATGCCTGGTGAGAGTGCTTGCTGTACCGCAAAGAATCTCTCTCAGCACACACACTCTTTGGGTGTGAACCTCACAAAACGTCCTGAGGACCTGGAAAAGCCTTGTGTGAAGTCCAGCTGAATCTCTATGGCCTGTGTCTTCTCTTGCTTTCGCTGGGTGTAAAACTCTCAGTTTCTCAGCGGCTTCGTGCAAGATGTTTAACAGATTGTTCTCTTGTGAGAGTGTTAGCTGACTGGCTGGATCTGCCATATTTTCAAGTGTGTTCGCTGAAAGCCTTGGAGCATAAACTAGAACTATTAGTAGAGAAGAAGCAGATTATACACTAGGTTTTCCTCTCCGTCTCTCACTGGTAAACCCAGGATTTACCACCCCAAGCCTGTAAAATAGGGTCGTCATGGCAAACAAAGGGCATGGCTGGACACAAAAGCGGCCCTTAGAGATGGACGACTCTTTCAAAAAAAGAAAAAGAAGAGAGTAATGTGTACATCTGTGAATGGCCCCTGTAGTCATGTGACCCAAATGAGGCACAGATACTATAAGCAAATACTCTGTATTTGTACAGTGAAACTGTAATGCGGTGAAATATGATTACAATTTAAAATAATATGCTTGTAGCACCCTCCTAATGTTATAATATTCAATCAGACCTCACACAACTTACAGAAGGCTTCTAATGTTCATAAATCATACTTTTTTAATGAAAGCCACTGCAGCAAATTAAATAATGGCACCACATAATACTGCCAGATAACATGTTTCATATGGGAACAATATTTTAATTAAGCCTGCATTTTAGATGACTCAATGCAATGAAACTTGAAATAGCTTTCACTTCATTAATAAATGAGAACACATGAAGGTTACAGTACAATTAACCTTTCTGGCATCTTGACATTATTTAATCTCAGGGAAATTAAAACATGTTGGGCTTTAGAACCATCATGTGGTCGAATGAAACTAGACAACCCTGTGGACAATTAAGAATATTGCACACAAAATGACAAAGGGTCTCTTAAGACAACAAGTTCTAAATTGTCTGTCTTTAGCCTACAATCTAGGACAGAAGCATTAAGTGGAAAGTGGATAATGTTATATTTCTGTATTATGGACATCATCCTTAGAATCTGTTTTCTGCAGGTCCACATGACATGACCAATATCACCTGACATCCCAAAAATCTAACATTTAAGAGCACGGTATGGACAGTGTATGAAAAAAACTATAATATATAAATGGCATTTTATAGTTTATTTGAAAAATATAGAATAAATATTTAAATTTCCTTGTTGTAGGCCTACCTTCATTGCAACAAATACAGTGAAAATGAAAATGAAGGAATTCAGCGCCATCATGTGGTCAAATGATTGAATTGCGCATAATATAGGCGTTGACAAAGCTGTCACGACTATTATTTGTCAGGCTTGTTCTTTCATATTTTTACATGCTATATTTTATATTTTATCGCTGTCATGGATGCGCATTAGTGTTTCTTCAAATTCAGGCACTTTTATATCCGAGTGGGTGTTTATTAAAACAAAAACAAAAAGTAAACCTGTTTTCTTAGGCTAGGCTAGGCCTAGGCCTACTATATTTTATTATTAAATGCCGTTATCAGTTTTTTTTTCCTATTTAACAATCGCCTTTTATGTATTTTAAAACATACGTTAAGCTACACAAGACAAAAATAAGCACAATCTATTTCAATATTTATTATGTGGCAACGTTTTAGGCATATATTTCCCCAAAAATACAACGGTCCCTCAGTTGTCGCAACTTATTTCCATCACAACCAAGAACCAACAACGTTTGCCTTTAATAGTCTTTTTTTCCCTTAAAAAATATGTGCACTTTTTTTTAAAACCCAAAGTCAACAGTGTCAGTGTGAAAAAAAAAAAAAAAAAAAAAAAAAAAAACAGAACATTTAAATGTAACACTTTTGAACAAAATAGTTTGTGTAATGCTGTTAACACCAGAAAAAACGACAAACGTTAAATGTAGTTTATGTCCACTATTGGCATTGGTTAGTAGACAACAAAGTGTCCAGTTGAAGAAACACCCACATACACTAAATGCAAAAAAACATCAAGATTTTTCATGGCAAAAAAGGGCAATCTACTAGATTTCTAAATGTATATAATTTAACCAAACAGCTGTGGTATTATGGGCTGTGGTTGGGTTAACCTGACTGCAGAATCCGTCGCTGGAGGCGCATCAAGCTGCAACATGCAGAAGACTGAGAGAGAAAGATACATTTTCAAATTTAATTACCAACACTATTATATTGTCATGTTATTTGAATTGTAGTAGAATCTACCTGATGATCTGGGCATGTGTCCCGCATGTTTGCTGTGGTGCAGCAGTATTCAGGCGAGGTTGGTTGGGCACGAGGAGGCGCGTCCGCGTGGCCTGGCTCAGGTAGGCGTGGAGACCCGCGCGCCTAGACTCGAAATCCGGAACGGCCGCTTGATGGGAAGAAACAAACTCCGGCTTGAAGACAAAAGTGTCCAAACTAAGCAGATAATGACAACTTCTCGTCAGAAAGTTTCAGCGCCAGTTTGACAACAAGGAGGCCGGTCACTTTGTGAGGTATGTTTCGAGAAAAGACCTGCTTAATTTCCCCAACATTTCGCTTTCAGCGCGTCACTTTAGTTCATGCCGTTATAAAAAATCTGTTATTGCATTTAAATGGTCACATATCCGATTGGTTTGGTGAACTTATTAGCCGTAAACTAGGTTACAATCGTTTGTTTTGTAGTGTGTTTTGCTCATTCACTCGTTGTGTAGGCTAAACACTCCCTCAACCTGTTGATATTGCGCTCATTCACTCCGGCCAGCAAAAGCAAAAAAGTGCCTTGTTGAAGAAACACCCACATACACCCATTAAGTGCAAAGTTCCACGTAGTTTCCATGCAAAATAAGTAGTTTATACATTACTGATAACATTTGTCTTGTTATCGGAAATACATTTTTGTATGTTGTTAAGCCAAGTTTGAGCTGAAGGTATGTGTTTTTACATAAATCATGGACAGCTGTATGCTGATTCTTATGTGTCATGCTGAAGATTTGATCAAGTTGGGATGGTATTTCAAGATGGATATATTTATTTATGCTGTAAAACTTGGGACATTAAACATTATGTCTTTATAATAGCTGGACTTTGCTCTTTAGTGTTGGATTTTTATGAGAGAGAAATTCCTGGTATGCATGACTCAGTCAGTGTACATGTGAATTGGGGACAGCAGAATAAGCTAGGCAAAAATGTTCCCACATTCTTTAAGTTCACCAAAAATGAAACTTCTGTCATTATTAACTCACCCTCATAATGTTCCAAAACCTGTATGAGTTTCTTCTGAGGAACAGAAAAGGAGATGTTTGGTAGAATGACAGTCCCCATTTACTTTCATAGACTGTCATTCTGCCAAACATCCTTTTTTTGTGTTTCACAAAAGTTTGTACAATGACATGAGGGTGAGTAATGCCAGTGATGTGCTGAATTTTAACTTCCTGCCAAATTATTACCTCCCTCATTGAGGACTCTGCCTGGTTACCTAATCCTAACCCCACCCCCACACCTAATCCTAAACCTACCTATACTGGAGTAGCTCAGCGGGGTAATAATCTGGCGGGGGTCAGTCAGAATTTGGCACAGCAACACACTGCAAGATTTTAGCCCCAATTTTCACTCGCCAACAGTTTTGAGGAAGTCGCCGACAAATGCCTGAAATTGGAGGCAAATTGGTGCTCGTTCATGTGAGTCACAGTCGTGTAGTGTGTATTATCAAAGACGCAATCTGAGAGAAGCGCTGATGCGTTGCCGATGCGATGCCCGGCCGTGAGATATTTAGTATGCTGAATATCTGGACCTGTCTGACTTGGAGTACTGTGCATTGTGAAATCTGTTTTGCCTGGAAATTATTTCGGCGACGACCTACAGCCAAATTAGAGCGCAAGATACAGGGCAAGGACAAGTTCAGGGCGAGGAGAGTCATAGACCAGCAACAAAACATTAGCAAATGTGGCTTCTGCAAGCAACCATTCTTTTCATATCTTTTCTTTTTCTTTGAAAAAGACAACTTGGATCGCAAGCATTTTTGCAGGCAACTATTTTAACTGGAAGAAATCCAGTCTCACATGCCAATTCCTATCTCACATGTGAACTTACATTATTTCCTGTATTGCTTCTCGCGTACGTTTGGGTGTGAAATGTACGTAGTCTGTGGACCAGACAGAGTTGTCTGCGATTTTTCCTATTGAAATGTTGTGTAATGTGTGACCCCCTGTTGCTGATCCGTCGTGTAATGTGCACACACCAGCAACTAAATGGCTCCCCAGACAGTCGTGCAGTGTATGAAGAACAGCGATCCGACGACTGCATTATTGATGACAGATTTTTGGGTGAACTGTTCCTTTAAGCAAATTCTTTGTGTACATTCTTCTCACTGTAATCACTTTGGTTTGCAGTCAGGCACGGGCCTACATGCTTGTGCTTGTTATAAAGTCTAGTATTGCAACATTTGCAGGTGAAAGAGGGACATTTCACCACATAAATAAATCCTGTTTTCGGCTATGTTTAGGAAAAGTCCAGCTGACAGTTTAGCCGCTGCTGCCTTTTATTTATTTGAGCATTTTGGGTGTTCCAGTGCATTCAGATTAATATTCTCTACTCATATAATGATGAGGAATTTATTGAACCTGTTTGTACTGGTAGAATGAAGTTAAAATGTTCAACGATTTTGTGTTCTTGGTCTTGAGCTTTCAAGAGCTTTCACTTTTGTTGTCTCTGTTGGTTTTGTTTGCAGCACCCATTTTTAAATGGTACAATCAAGTGGTAACCCTACCAAACACCGCTAGAATTGTTTGTCATACAAAAGTAGACTGCCTGTAAAATCAAACTTTGAAGGAAATTTATTATTTTGATATTACTATGTAGCACATCATAGGCCCAACAAAATAACATTCCTGAAGAAATTGCTAATTTTGTGAATGCATAAATCAGAGCATGTGCGATTTTACGGATTGTGTTTTTTTTTTTTTTTGGAAGACAAATATTTTGAAGGCAGGATGCTATGCTAGTGTAATTCAAGAAATATATGTGCCCATGTTTGAACTGGTAAAACCCTGATGCATGTCAGTGCAGGTTTAGAGGTTGTGAAAGCATTAGCTAGTTTGTGCCAAAGAAGTGATATTTAGCCAGTTCAGATCTGAAAAAACTGATTTGCTTAAACCAATTTGAACAAAAGCAGGTTTTT